ATATTAGAGTATATTAGAGATAATCTCTCCCTTCCCATGGCAATTGAAATCAGATGACACATTTCAACATAGTTCCTTGTTTTGAACTTTAGAAGTCCAAGTCTCAAATCTATGAGAATCCATCTTGTTTATCCTACAGACCACCTTTGCAATGGTAGGTAATTTTTTTCAAATCATAATGACTAGGAATTCTTTTCCGTTGCTCATGAAGCTGAAGACAAGTTAGAAGCTGACCTTTTCTTTTTTTTTTTTTCTCTCCTATAGTAACCAAAAGAGTTAGCTAAATATGCTATTTACTGAACAGCAAACTCTACAATTATTTAGTGGGCTCTTATTTTGGAACATGGTTGTGATAGATTTTAGGAATAGAACAGTGAACAAAACAGGTATATTGCCTACCCTTTTCATCTTATTAGGGGACATAGAAGGTGAACAAAAATTATTCAGATAGGAGTAGTAAAAGTTAAGCGTCAGGTACAATGAGAGCAGAGAAGAGAGGGACTTGACTAGTGAAATACCCTGAAACCTGAAGATGAGAAGAGGAAGGAAGCCGGAGAAGAGATCAATGAGGACGGCACATTCCTAGCACATAATAATGCCTGTGATAGGACAGAGCTGTGCTGTTGGAAGAACACAGAAAAGGCTACAGAGGGTGTAGGAGGGCAACTGGTAGCAGCGGGAGAGAGAAAAAGTAAGGGTGGGCAGGGCCAACTGATACAGGATCTTGTGGGTCATGTTAAGGATTTTAAATTTACCCAAAGATTGATAGAAAGCCATGGAAGAGATTTCAGGCTGAAATAACTAAAATAGACAAAAAAGAGAGAGGAATTTGAATTTCCGTTCCTTAGGAGATAAAAGAGAAAGAAGGGTCAGGAAGAGAAACCTCTTATGGCAAACCTGCTAAGAATTCTAAAGGACAAAAGTGTCTATAATCCATGGACACAGACAATAGTGTGGTGAAGGCCTGGGACGGGAGGCGGGATGGACTAGAAGGTTCATTGGGGGGAACAGCAACGTCTGTAATACTTTCAACAATAAAGATAAAGAGAGAGAGAGAGAGACTAATAGAGACTTAAAAATTGTTTGATAGGGGTGTACCAATACCACTTATGCCTTTAGTATGAAATTTTCAGTAAACTCTATTCTATGCTTCATGTGAGTGAATATTATAAGGGAATTGAAAGAGGTGAAGGATTTTATTTCTACTTCAGAGACAGGGTTCCACACCCAGTTTCAGGAACACAGTAGTTGAAGAGACCAGGAAAGAATAATGTGTCTGGACAGCAGTAAACATGGAATTTGGAAATCATATTTAGATATTAAAAACTACAATGGGCCTGGCTGGCATGGCTCAGTGGTTGAGCATGGGCCTATGAACCAGGAGGTCACGGTTCAATTCCTAGTCAGGGCACATGCCTGGGTTGTCAGCTCGATCCCCAGTAGGGGGTGTGCAGGAGGCACCTAATCAATGATTCTCTCTCATCATTGCTGTTTCTCTTTCTCCCTCTCCCTTCCTCTTTGAAATCAGTAAAAAAAATATATTTTTTTTAAACTACAATGGCTTTTACTGAGCACTTGTCATGTGACAGATACTTTTTAAAGTGTTCATACATTATCTGATTTAATCCTAACAATCTTTTTTAAAAGATACTAAATTTATTTATTACATATTCCTTTCAATAGTCTTTAAAATATGAGAGAGCAGGCACCATATATATCTGGTTCAAATGTGTACTCTCTGTGTCTGCCATAAGGTAGACAATAAATATTGGATAAATAAGTGGGCCAGATATGGAGGCAGATGGGAAAATGAGGAAGCAGAACAAGGCTAGAGGAGTGAGCAATACAGCAAACAGAGATGGTTGATGAACCATCTCTAGCCATCCTAGGTTTTAGGAATATAAAACAAATAGTTTTCTTCAAAAAGCTGGGCCAAGTAACTTTCTCATCAATAAGGATGAACATTGTGTCAAGGCTTACTGAAGACAAATTTATGTCTCTTTTGGAATCCTCAGAATATAGAGAAAGCTTAAGACATAAATAAAATGATCCCATTTTACTTTTGTTCTGGTTGCATTATAATTATCATCTTAAACTGAAGAAGACAAAAATAAATGGAAAGATATTCTATGCATATGGATTAGAAGAATATTGTTAAAATGTCTATACTACCCAAAGCAATCTACATATTCAATGCAATTCCTATAAAAAATCTAATGGCATTTTTCACAGAAAGATAATTAGCAATCCTAAAATGTATATGGAGGTACAAAAGAACCCAAATACCCAAAGTGGATTTAAAGAACAAAATAAATGAACAAAACAGAACAGACACATAGATACAAACTTACCATATGAACCAACAATTCTTTTCCTAGGTACACATATCTAATAGAAATTAAAACATAGATCTACACAAAAACATGTACAAGAATGATCATAGCATCATTAATCATAATAGCCAAAAAGTGAAGACAACGTACATGTCAATCAACTGATGAAGGGATAGAGAAAATGTGGTAAATATATAAAATGGATTATAATTCAACCATAAAATGAAATGAATCAACCTTGAAAATATTATGTAAGTAAAAGTAGCCTGTCACAAAAGACAATACACTGCGTGATTTCATTCACATGAAATGTCTACAATGAGCAACTTTATAGCTACAGAAAGGTTAGTGGTTGCCAGGGGCTGAGGGAAGGAGGAATGAAGAATAACTGCCAATAGTGTAACAATTTGTTTCTGGAGAAATGAGACCAGACATTCTAAAATTTGATAGTGGTGATGGTTGCACAAAACTAAATATATTAAAAATCATCTACTAAATACAGCAAAAATTATCTAATCATATATATGTGTATATATGAAAGGGAATAATTTTTACAATATGCAAGTTATACCTTTAAAAGTTGTCATACACATATGAGGGAGTTTTAACAATAACAAAAAATCAAGGAACAAATCATTTTAACCTTACAAAAATTATTCCAGAGTTAAAACAAAAAACAAAAAAGAGGAAGCACTCCCCCACTAACTTTATGAGGTTGGCATATCCTTGATATAATATACAGTAGCTGTTGTGATAATAAAGAATTCCCTATAACCAAAAGCAAATGGCAAAGAATGGGTATGACATTTCAGTATGCTAGGGAAATGATCCTTGCATCAAGTCAAAGGTACAAAGGTCACACACACGCCAAAAAAAAAAAAAAAAAAAACACTTTAAAGAACTTCCTTCTGACTCTAAAATTCTATAACTATGATAATAGCATTCAAATTCAATAATCTTAAATATCAACCTCAATTTCTGGCATTGAAATCATGCTTAATTCTGACTAATCTGAGAAAACTAGATTTCAATAAAAATTTCAATACAAAGAAAAGGAGAGAGAAATTAACATCAAGTCACAGTCAGAGCTGCACAGAATTTGACTTTCAAAAACAGTACGTATGTATAGTAATCTTTATGATATCAGTATTCATACACTTACATCCTAATAATATGAACAAGGTGTTGACCTGTTTAGCACTGTCAAAAATTTAAACCTTGTTGTTAAAATATAGGTTCACATTATTTACTTTGAGATTTAAAACTTTTCCAGGTTCATATACTGTTTGAGATCAATATGTCAAAGTTCAAAAGGGTATGAATTTGCACTGAAAACACTGCAATATCACAAATCAAGTATTTATTAAAGAAAGAGCCATGGCTCCAACCATCACACAATTATCTCCTTTTCCTAAATAAATGAGAAATGGAGAAATACATTATGCTTGATACAAATAATATATTCATTTGATTATGTATATGCTATAACATAGACATTCACAAGTCATGGTTTAAATTAAATAAAGAGCAGGCTGATAGCTCTTGGGTAGGAGTGGGGAGCTGGGGGCATGGAGGGATTGGGCAATAAAGGAAAAAGAAAGAACTCATAGACAGTGACAACAATGTGGTGATTGTGGGGGGAAGGGGACTGGGTGGAGGTAAAAGAGGATATGGGGAGATAAATCATGATGGGAAAAATTAAATTAAATTAAATTTTTAAAAACAGATCAACCAAGTCAACAGTCTGATTTCAGCCTAATGCGGGGGTCCTCAAACTACGACCCGTGGGCCACATTGGGCCCAGCAAAAACATTTATCCGGCCTGCCGGGTGTTTTTGCCGCCGCTGTGTGAATTTGTTCATAGTTTTTTTTTAAACTATAGTCTGGCCCTCCAACGGTCTGAGGGACAGTGAACTGGCCCCCTGTTTAAAAAGTTTGAGGACCCCTGCCTAATGCATACATCTAAAACCATCTTTCTTCTCAAGTTAATTTTATCTCTTTAGCACTTTAATGATTACACCATATTGCATATGATCTTTTGTGCATAGAATCCATTTGTATCCATATATATAAGTATATGTATAGGATTGAAAGGTGTGGATGTCAATAAATAGCATCACTTAGTTATGTTCATTTACTTTGTAAATCTTTCTTTTTAGATCATTTTGTAGATCACTTAGTTTATTTTCATGTAGATCTTTCAGTGAGACTGCCTTACATGTGCACTAGCATATTTAAAAAAAATAAATAAATAAAAATATCACTATCTATATCTATACATATGAAAGCCTAAGCAGCCATCCAACCACCCGACTGGTACCTATGACGTGCACTGACTACCAGGGGGCAGATGCTCCAACAGATAGCTATGATGAGCACTGACCACCAGGGGGCAGACACTCAACGCAGGAACTGCAGAGCTGCAGTGACTTGGCAGCTATGGTTCTCCGGTGACACACCCAGAACCAGAGAGAAGGGAGCCCTGATTCCGGGGTGCGTCACCGAGAGCCACCCTCTCGCAATCTGGGACCCCTCGGGGGATGTCCGAGAGCCAGTTTCAACCCAATCCCCACTGGCCAGGCTGAGGGACCCCACTGGTGCATGAGTCCATGCACTGAACCTCTAGTAAAATGTTAACAACCATAAAAAGAATTTCTTTAAATGTACCTTCTTCAAGGATGGGTCTTGGGATGACAAATGGAATCTCCTGCAGAGGCTCCATATACTTGTGGCCAGCACTAATAATCTTTAGTTGAGGCAAGCAGAGCACAAGGGTTCCTGGCATGCTGGTTTGTCCGTGGTACCAACTTCTTACTGTTCCAGGGATGTCACCAGATACAATTGTACTTGGGGAAGGCAGGCTATCATTTGGAATGAACACACAACAAGACTGTACTTCAAGCTAGAAGAGAAAAGTAGAATTAAAATGTTTGGATCAGACTAAATATGGGAGTAAACAGACCCTCAAACATGGTATCTTTACCAGAAAAAAACAAAAGCAAATAAAAAAGAAAAAGTCCAATACTTAAAGGATTTGTTTTTTGCTATAAATTTGATCAAAAGTGCACAGTGACATGAGATGAAAACATATCTGCCTTTCCACAGTTCTTTCCAAGAAACATAACTGAGTTAGAAAATGTGCTGGCAAAAAAGGTGAGAAAATCCTCCTCCTTTTGCAGTTCATTAGATTTTGTTAACACCAGTTAAGTCCTTAGAACTGACTAGCATTTTATTGCTCCTACTTTCTCTGACTGCCAGTCAGAGAAAGACAAGGACCATATGATTTCACTCATATGTGGAATCTAATGAACAAAATAAACTGACAAACAAAATAGAAACAGGCTCATAGACAGGGAACAGACTGCCAGCTGTCAGAGGGGAGGGAGGATGCAGGAATGGGTAAAAAAGGTGACAGGACTAAGCAACAAAAACAAAAACAAAAACAAAATCTTCACAGACACAGGCAACAGTATGGTGATTGCCAGAGGGGAATTGTAGATCTGAAATCTATATAATTTAATTAATCAATGAATTTAATTAAAATAATTTATAAACACTTTTTTAAAAAGCCCACAAACTGTTATTTCTACATGAATTTGGTCCTTCCTTTTTTACTTTACAAATTAAAATATAAGAACAAATGTTTAAAATGTTCAGATTATATCTCTAAGCAAACAATAAAACAGAACACGTTTATAACACATACTTTTCTCTTTTTATATACATGCATACCAAGGCTCAATATATTAAATCACATTTATTAAATACATGGTTATGGAGAAAATTCAGAAGCCTTAAAAATCAGAGTGCCTTCCTTGCTATTACCATACTTCAAATTATTACCTACACTGCTTTCATGTGAAATTTTCATGCTTCCCTATACCCATTGTAGTTACTTAGGCTTGCAAGCCCAAATCAAAACCTGACTTCATCTCATCATGAGTTCTTAATTCAAATGCAAAGTAGGTTAAAGTCTACTAGTCACAATTGATTCTCACAAAGTAATACTCTGTACCTGGTTAGTAAATTCCCCAAACAGACTAACATACTTGAATCATTTTTAAAATGAAAAATATGACCAGTTAGTTTTTTATAAAGTACCTGGTATATAAAGGTATTATCAGAAAGTATAACAAAAATAAAATTTGTTTCCTTGATAAATGCTTAGATATTCTAGCAAATCACATTAGCAAAGACACTATATTTTCTGAATGACAACTAAGAATATAGTAAACATCACTTCTGATGGAGCTAATCTATTCCTAGTGACAGCATAACAATATGTAACAGGTGGAATTCCTTGATACAATAAAGAATTTGCCAGTCTTATAAATAAACTTAACTCATCTTTGCTTCAACAGTCTTTACATGGGCAAACTGATGAATTCAGTGAAGAAAAAAATATAAGTAAAATTTCCCCCAAAAAAATACATTGGTTCATGGAGTATAAGCTCATTTTTTTAGTTCTGGAATTTTACCTTGCAGTTTAGATCATTTAAGTGTATATATGTTAAGTATTTAATTGACTTAAGATTACAACATATTTTTCTGAAATAAAGTGTATATTATCTCAGATGCATTACATTTAAGTTTTTAAATATTTAACATAAGTCATTATTGATGTTTAATTGCTCAAGTTAAAATGGCACATTGAGAGCATATTCTCCTATATAAATTGCGGTTATAAGGTCAAATTATGAAGAATCAGCATTTAACACTTCATGTAGGTATTAATGCTATGCTCAAAATTGCTTTTAATAATGTGAGACATTTATGTTAATATGCCACAATATACAAATATATACATGTAAGTCCTGAGAAACAAATCTAAATTGTGCCTAAGTTTCCAAAATCAATATATTCTAAAATTCCACTAATTCAGAAATAAATTATTTCATCAAACCTAACCTCAACAACGCATACAGAACCAAGCGTATTAGCATAAGATACATAACAACTCAAAAAAAATAAACTTTCTAAAATGTGTGTTTGGGGGATTTCTTTAATGATAAGAACCAAAACATATACATAAATCCAAATTGCTCAAACTTCTAATGCTATATCTGCTATATATAGTAAAGCTATCACATAAATCTTTTTACACTTTTAAAATAACTGTTAAACTGTATGTCTAAAATTGTGGTTTTAATGTAAAATGTTGAATGATTTGTGTAAGTGAACAGAAATCTGCAGCAGTAAATTTTGCATTAATGTAAGGATCTGACAATCCAAGGGAAAGAAAATGAAGTAATCTGCCAGTAAGAAGTCCTCAAACCGGGGGTCAGATCATGTTCATGGAAACCATCTGGTTGGGACCCTCTGAGCCACACCAAACACAAATGATCTTTTAAAAAAATATCCTATTCATTAATGCATCACAGCTGCACTGAGTGTTACTTCATTTTTCCATGGCAACATCCTTTCTGTTTCAAGGATCTTATTTCAGTTTTGGTAGCAACGTGTTCTTTCCCCAATATTGAACACATTCATGTGTTAAAGTGAAGGGATTATTACAAATTCTTGAAGTAGAACCACCTCTATTTTGATTCCTATTAGGCCAAGGGCTACATATCTAAGTATTATATCCCGAGGATAAACCAATAAAGTAGAAATTACTCGGTATTCTTATTTTAATAAATAAAACAACTGCACTTTTTTTCGGAAGTTCTAAGTTTACATGGTCCATGCTATTGTGTACCACCATATGTAAGGTTTGGTAAACTTAGATTTTTCTAATTTGTGTGTTCCATACTGTGATACAACTCAGGTAAAAAGAAGAGGCTAAGGTAGGTTCCATTTACATATTAATCTGAATATTTTATTTAGCCCATTGGCTATGTAGAGGACACTTTACATATAAATGCTCTAAATGTTATTACATATCATCTGCTCTTTTAAATAATGGTCCTGTTTCTTATCCCCAAATAACATGTTTCTCCTTCTTTAAAACTTAAAACTTTAGTGATAATTATATTTTACAAAAGTTCTAACAGAATGAAACGTTTTCTGTATGAACTTATTTCATTCTTCAGGAAACAGTTTTTAAAAACACAAAAATAAGGAAACATTTCAGGGTGTGATTTCACTCACATTTTCTTTTTTTATTCAGAATTTTTTAATATTTACCATGAACTGATTTGGAAAGTTGAGAACACAGAGACAAAAGACATAGTTCCAGCACTTAAAAAAAATTGAAATAATAGGATTTTTAAATACTTATAGCCTTGGAATTTTCACCAGAACACAAGCTCTATAATTCTAAACATGGCCTATTTGTTCACTCTACAGTGTTAGTACATACTATAATGCCTAGCATATACCAGACATTAAACAAATGAATACAATTATTTTTGTTAGCATCAGATACAGATGTTAATTAAAATAACTGTTTGATGATGTTCATCATTTCATTCCACAGAGACAACCTGGTAGGGCAATTTATTTTATTAACCTTCCCCGGAGGATATGTTTTTATTGATTTTTAGAGAGAGAGGAAGTAAGAAAGAGAGAGAGAGAGAGAGAGAGAGAGAGACAGACAGACAGACAGACAGACAGAGACAGAGAAATATCAACTGGTTGCTTCATGTACGCATCTCGACCAGGAATGAACCCGCAACCTAGGTACGTGCAATGACTAAAAATCGAACTCACAACCTTTTGGTCTATTAGACAACATTCCAACCAACTGAGCCACTGGGCCAGGGTAATTTTTAGGGCAATTTAAAAAATTGACTTATCAACAGATGGGTTCAACTCCACCCTGGGACCTTTGACAAGTTATTTAACTTGTCCAGGACTTCAGTCTTCTCATGTGTAAGTGGAGTGAAATCAGCATTGACATAAAGATGTAACATAATAAGTTCCACCTAAATGTTTGCTCAGGAAATAAAGTCAATAAACATATACTAAATATCTACTACAAGCCAGATCCATAAAATATATTAGCCTCAGGGACTTAAAGATGTTCACAGTCCTTTTGTTTTAAAATGCTGTTGCTTGTGAATGAACTATGTACACAGAGTTGACCCAAACATTCCATTTGTACTACAACAAATATGCAAATATTACCCAAATCATAGTTTTGCTATTCTATAAATCCTCACTACACTATGAAAATACTCTGGGTGTGTTATATGTAGTAGAAATCTAAATGTACTCTTTTAGGGCAGTAAGTTAAAAACCTCAAAAGTGAGCCCTGGTTTCTTCTTTTCCAGAGTGAGTGTTATGAATCTCCATACTCTGCCTATATTTGTCAGGGAATGACATAAAGAGACTCGTAGATTTGTATTCCAGACTTCCTCCTGCTAATAAATTGTCATGCAATTGTTGTTACTTTCTCAATGTGCATAAATAAAAATAAGGTCCTGTGTGCAAAGTTTTAAGCCTTATAAGTAAAAAGTTAACTTTTAGAATTAAGATTATTAACCACTGATTGGTCCAGTGGTTTTCAACCTTCCTAATGCCACGACCCTTTAATACAGTTCCTCATGTTGTGGTGACCCCCAACCATAAAATTATTTTTGTTGCTACTTCGTAACTGTAATTTTGCTACTGTTATGAATTGTAATGTAAATATCTGATATGCAGGATGTATTTTCATTGTTCACGACCCACAGGTTGAGAACTGCTGGGACTCTAATCTGAAATGCCTGATCTTATTTAATCCTGGAGATAAGCCAGGAAGTCCAATGGACATGAGAATATCAAGTGCATCATGCAGTATGATTACAGCATCACGGGTCATAGTCTATATGTAATTCCTGGGAGAAAAAATTCAACTGGTCTACCTTAACTGATTATGTGGTACCTGAAATACTTAGATACTTGAAGAAAAATCATACAAACTGTGGGAAGTTGTTCCCTGAAGGAATAACAGAGCATTACTAGCAAAAAAAAGGGGAG